AATTTTCTGGAGCTTGAAATTATCTACAAAATCAGAATAGCTTAAATCAGCTCAATAATTTGGAAGCATCTTGACTGGAAAGTTGATGAACAGTTATCATATGTTTCTTGCAGCTACTTTTCGTAGCAAACTTCTGCTGACAAACTGAGCAAAGTACTGCCAAGCCTCCACCCCCTAAATGTTTGAGCTGATAGTGCGTTTTCAGATGACCCTTTTGAGTTGCCTTATATGGACATAAAGTACACTGGAGGTCGTTTGAAATTGCAGGCACCAGGTTCAAACTTTTGAGAGCTGATCCAACGTCAAGGCTCTGAACACCACCACGTCTATTTTGATTTGCAGACATTCTTGAAACTTTTGAAGGAGGTCTCGGCGTCGAATTAGTATAAGAAGGACGTTTGGGAACTCTGATTTGATTTTTAAAACAACAACTCGGTATTTTGTCGTCAGAAAACCTGATTTGGCCGATAAGCTTGCGACTTTCTGTTGCGTCGAAGATTGCGCCAAGTGTTCGTTTAGACCTCAAAAATTCTTCATCAACCGAGATTTTAACTTGAACAACTTCAGATAAAACAGACATTTTCCGCTCTTAAACACTTCTAATGAACAGAAAATTGATCAAAGTCGAAGATTTTTAGCAAAAGAGCAACTTTAAATCCACATATAAACCCGTGTCTTGAAGTTTTTCATATAAATTTCCCAAATCAATTGTTCCGAAGTGAATCTTAGCTCCAAAATACGCTCGTCGGAATTAAAATCATAAATGCAAAACTCAACTTTATTAATCATAGACAAAAAACTAAACCTAACAAAATTACATAGCCAATAGAGGTCTAGTAGTCGATAAAATTTAAATTAAAAAAAGACCCAACAAAAAAACTATGAGTCAAATCGAAATTCGATTACGTTTGAATACTAAAAGTCTAATTTTTACCCCGATCTAAAACGCAATTTATTTCTTTCCTCTGCAAGAGTTAAACATCCTCTACGCAATCCGATTCAAAATCAGTTCAATAATTTGGAAGCATCTTGACTGGAAAGTTGATGAACAGTTATCATATGTTTCTTGCAGCTACTTTTCGTAGCAAACTTCTGCTGACAAACTGAGCAAAGTACTGCCAAACCTCCGCCCCCTAAATGCTTCAGCTGGTAGTGCGTTTTCAGATTCGATTTCTGAGTTGCCTTATATGGACATAAAGTACACTGAAGGTCGTTTGAAATTACAGGCACCAAGTTCAAACTTTTGAGAGCGGATCCAACATCAACGCTCTGAGGACCATGTCTAATTTGGCTTGCAGACATTCTTGGAGCTTTCAAAGAAAGTTTCGGCGTCAAATTAGTACTTAAAGGACGTTTAAGGCCAGAGATTTGATTTTCTAAAAAACTACTCGGTATTTTGTCTACCGAAAAGATAATTTGACCGACAATCCTACGATGATCTGTCGTGTCAAAGATCGCGCCGGTTGTTCGCTTAGACCTCAAAAACTCTTCATCAACTGAGATGCTAACTTGAAAAACGTCCAGCAACAAAGACATTTTGCGTTCTGTAACACATTGAATCGGATTTCACTCTCAAAACTTTTGAAATTTCGGAGCACCAGATTAATTTTAACTTAACATTTGAACCTGCGTCTTTGATTTTTTTGATATCATTTAACTGCGGTTAATTTTTTCGAAATGAATAGAAGCTGCGTGACAAGTTTATCCATTCAACTAACATCCAACCTCAATAATGTTTATGTCAATTTATAAAAAGTCGAAAAGATTAAATTTAACATTACTTAGCTAACAGACATGTAATAGCCAATAGTGCTAAAATTTAACACCTAACTGTAAAAAAAATAGATCGCCCATTCATTCCTCTTCATAAGACTTTGATTAAATGAAGTTGCTTCAATTTGTAACACAGCAAAATTCAATTCAGATCTTCTGCTGGTCTCAGTCAAGTAACTTGGAAGCATGCTCACTTGACAACTGATGAGAACTTATCATGTGTCTTTTTGTGTTTTTCTTTAGAGAAAACCGTTGTTTACAAATGGGACAATCCACTGCCAAACCACCGCCTCCTAAATGCTTCAGTTGGTAATGAGTCTTCAGACTGTTCTTAGCAGTTGCCTTATATGGACACAAAGTGCACTGCAGATCATCAGGCACTTCTGGAAGTATGTTCAGTTTCTTCAACACAGATCCAACATCGGTCAAATTGGTGGCCAAGTTTTTGTTTCCACTGGAACTTAATTTTGACTCTTTTGGTCTCCTTCCAGAATCTAGCATGCTGTTTGTCAATGGACGTTTGCTAGCGCTCAAGCTTGTGAAAATAGCTTTTGTGGTTGCCGGGTTGTTCAAATTTTCAGTTTTTAGTTCTAATTTCAAACTGCCAACTGATTTCTCCGCTGCTGGATCCAAAATAGGAAAACTGATTTGGCTCACATTGAAAAAGTTGACAGCAAACTCTTCGATAGAGAACGTAATTTTAACCGCGCCTTCATCCACATACATTTTCGAACACGAAATATTCTACTGAAAAAACTACACGAGAACTATACAAGAGCACAATTTACAATTTTTTGTGCTAAGTTAAGACATAAAACTGACATGCAAAAGAAATGAACACAAACATGAACTGCATTTTTATACGAACCAAAAACAAGAGGCTAGAGAACTGCCGGCTGCAGTGCAAATAGAACAAGTTCCGACCAAATTGGTTTAGGGAAAAAATCCAATCTTAAGTTTTTTTCAATATATTAAACACAGAGGCGAAGTGGAGCTTCGCACCACTAACGATGCAACAAAAACATTTTGAAAAAAAAAAATGTTTTTTTAAGTTAAGAAAAAAATAGTTCTTTCAAAATTTCAACCTTCTCGATATGTCTCAATTCAATCCAGGCAATAATCAAAGAAAATTGCATATAAAATTAGCTACGGAATTTCCAAAGAGTCAACAAAGTCGACAATCTTGGAGCAGACACAAGTTGATACGAAAAAATAGGATTTTATAAAAAAAAATCTATGAAAGAAATCTTTGTTAATCACATCTGAGACTATAATAAACAACACTTGCATTTGTAACTACATTGAAAGTCTCTTACAGCACAAGAAAAATCTGTAATGTGGCAACTAAGCCGACAATTTTTGAGCAGACACCAGTTAAGCCGAAAAAATTTGTTTTCATGAAAAAAAATTCAAACATTTTAAGTTCTCCCCTTATACTAGAACGAGCACCACTTGCACTTCTATGCAAGTTACTTACAGCACAGGCAAAATCCTTGATGTGGCAATTTAGCTGACAAAATTTGAGCAGACAAATGAAAGTCCGACAACTCAATTTTAACCGATTTTTTTTTCAATTGCATACAAACTGAAAAAAAACAAGGTCCGGCCGAGAAGCGAACCCCAGATCTAAGGATGCAAATGCGACAGCAATACCCCTAAACCAATTGGAAGGAAATTTGCAATTTTTCAAGGCTGAATATCAAAGACACACAAGCGAAGCCATAACACATAAATAGCATTGCAAGCTAGCAGACAGGAAAGGAAAGCCACTAAGCCCAATGAAAAACGGGAACATTTTCGGAAAAATCACACCTAAAAAACTTTGAAAATTTTCTGTAATGATGTTTTATTTGCGGGAAACACGTCCAGGTACACATTTGATAGCATTTGATTAAAATTCAAAAAATATCGAATGAAAACAAAATTGTTGCCTTGAAAAGCTAAGAATTCTGAATTCTATAATCCGATTTTTAATGTTTTTTGCGTCCGGCGGAAAACACGCAAATCATGGTTCACTCAAATGACCTAAAATTAGGTTAGTATGCCAACAAAAGAGAATCTAAAACCATTTAGGCCGAAATTTTTTTAAGCGAAAAAAAAAATAAAATATACGAAGTCAACGCTTGTAGCATCACAAACTGATGAGTACATGAAAACATAGAAAGCAACAACAATAAACTGCATGCAGCAAAACAATTCTAAGATGCGGCAAGTATGCCGCAAACACAAAAGCAGACAATAATAAGCCGACAATTTTTTGAAATGGAATATTTGCTGTTTGAAAAAAAAAGCCCTGCGGATATGCGAACCCAGACCCTCTGCTGTCCCAGGCGAATTCGTTACCTCCAGACCAAGTGTGCCGCATACGTTTTGCAATTTGCATTCTTTATTAAGCAAGATACTAAGTAATTCTGTTAAACAAGTTGTTAACCTTAAAAAAAGTCCATATTCCGATTCGACCACGTTTACTAATCGTAAGAGTAATAAATAATTTTAAATTTGCAATTTTTGTAGTCTGACTTTGCATCTATTTTTTTTGGAATGGGCAATTGAATAAGATACGAAGTGAATAAGAGCGCTAACTATAGTTAAACACAGAGGCGAAGTTGCTGGGAAGAGCTGAATGAGTAGAACTTTGCGTTTACAAAATTTCATAAGTGACGCACGCCAAATATGAGTCTTCATAATTGCTATGTGACGCAAGCCAATTATGACGCATTACCAGTACCAATAAATTTGAAAAAAAAAGAAACTTACCAACTAAGATGCCTCAATTAAAGAGCGGTCGCATTTTAACTATTATACGAAAAAATTCATTAAAACATCTGACCCTGCCCAGGTTCGAACCCTCTTCTGGTTTCCTTGCTCCTGGTCGCAACAATTGCATCGCAACAATACTTGCGACTTAGGTTAGAAAAAAGAAATTTTATACTATAACACAAGCTATGCTTTTGTAAATAACGTTAATGGTCTAGTAAAGTTAAACTTCGGAGGTCAGCTTAGTTGTAAAATTCAGAATCATTGAAGTACAGCTAATACCAATCAGCTGCTGAAAAAAATTGTCGCCTTTCATAAAAAAAATAAACACAGTTGATTAAAACAAAGATGATTATAATTCATCAGTTTCAAGTCCAATTTCTTATCTACAAATTCTAGACCAATGCCAGCAAAAAATGTAATTCAATATATGTCTACATAACTAACTATTCAGACTCAAATTCAGCCCTCTAACTCAGAAAACTAGCAGCATCTTCTTTTGATAAATTGTGCGCTCTCAAAAGATGGCTTTTCAAGTTGCCTTTAGTCGTGCACTTCTTTTGACATAGTCTGCACAACACCGTCAAATCAGCACCTCCTAAATGTTTCAACTTGTAATGAGTCTTCAGATTAGACTTCTGAGTTGCCTTATAAGGACATACAGCACACTGAAGGTCATTTGGAAGATTTGGAACGAGATTCAAGTCTTTGAAAACTGCAGAAATGTCTTTTTTGTTCGTCGGATAGACTTCCGAATTGGAGCATGGCAATTTTGCAGTTTTTGTCTTTTTTCCGCCATGAACACTTGCAGGAAAAGAATCAGCTATTCTTTTGGGCGCCATGTTTAAGCGATCAAACTTCCTCGCAAAAGGAGCTTCTGGAATTATTTCGCAGGTTCCGAGCAACTGATTTGATACAGAGTCAATAATGTGGCAAACTTTATTCAAAACAGCCGATTCGCTTGACTTCTCTATCAGACATGCCTCGAATTTGAAAATGAAACCGAAAGAAAAATCCGCCATATCAAAACTGAAAGCTCAAAAATTGCTCAACGTTTTATATGTTTCCCAAGGTAATTAATTAATGAACTATTACAGGCAGGAAAAAAAGTACAACCTGAAGGTTCATTTTCTTCTTGTAGTACAAATAGAATAAACAAACTAAATTAAAGCCAACATCCTTACAATTTGTCCAGAAATTATTTCTTAGCTAATTTCATTTTTAAAACTGGTCATGATAATACATGATAATCAATTTTCAGCTGAAAAATTTGCATCTTTGCTTTTGTTACTAATACTCCCGCTGAACTCCATATTATTAGAAAAATCTAAGTTTTTAGCAACAAAAAATATTACATTAAATCCTAAAAACGAACTTAAGTTTGATTAAATTGGACTAGCCCAAAATTACATAAAATTCTTTTGAAGAAAAAATCGAATTTTCCACGAAAAATTTTCTTTTCATCACAAAAAATACTATGTGTCTTGGTGCATTATGTGCACATTCATCGAAAAATTGTTCGTTAGCAGCTTTTCAACAGAGCCAAAAATTGATTATCCTAGCCACTAGAGCAATAATTTACCTTTTGAAGCCACATTACTTAAATTCAATTCCTACAAGAGAGCTGTAACTTAAGCAAAGATCAATTTGTTAGAACAAAAATGAATTGACTAGGATTAAAAATATAGCCCCTGATACTACCTGTTAGAAATATAATGTTTTCAATTGAACTCGAAAATATAACTTGTCATCAATTAATGAAGAAAAGTTTCGGAGTCTTCCTTGGAAAGATTGTGGACAGTCAAAAGATGTTTCTTTAAGCTACCTTTCGTGGAGCACTTCTTTTGACACAATCTACACAGCATTGTTAAATCAGCGCCACCTAGATGTTTTAGCTTGTAATGAGTTTTCAAGTTTCCTTTCTGAGTGGCCTTATATGGACATAAAGCACACTGGAGATCATTTGGAGTTTCAGGAAGAATGTTCATGTCTTTCAAAATAGTACCGATGTCTTTTTTCTGCGCTTGATTGGCGACCAAATCAGCACCTCCTGTCAACGTGACCATTGTTTTTGGTTTTTTGGAACGGGGCATTGAGGCAGAATTAGATTCGGTTAACCTTTTAGAAATCAATTTCGGCTGATTAAAAATCATTTCCGATAAAACTTTTGGCACTAGATGGCAAGATCCATAAACAACTCTTGACACTGAGTCAACGATAATAAGGAACGTCTCAGAAACATTCATGCTATCGCATTTCTCAAAGATGGCCGTTTCGAAGTTGAAAATGAAATCGAAAACACTTGTATCAGACATCTAAAAGAACTGAAATTCACTTATTTCAAAGCATTATTCTTAAATGACAAGTTCTCAAGGTACCATTTTTAGTCAACAATTGAAGAGAAAAAATTGAAGAACTAATTTTGACTTTTTGCCAACATCAAATAAATCTAATCTTAAATAAAGAACTTGTTTCTAACAAATCTGAGTCAATTATGATTTGGAATATAGTTCATAAAAATTCCTGTTAGTTTTATAGTGTTTCATTTGAAGCCTGACGTCACTTTCATTAGCGGAGAAAAGCATCAACGTCTTCTTTGGAAAGATTGTGTACTTTCAAAAGATGCATCTTCAAGTTACCTTTTGTAGCACATTTCTTTTGACACAATCTACACAGCATAGTCAAATCAGCGCCACCTAGATGTTTCAGCTTGTAATGTGTTTTCAAGTTTCCTTTCTGAGTGGCCTTTTATGGACATAAAGCACACTGAAGATCATTTGTTGTTTCAGGAAGAATGTTCATGTCTTTGAAAATCGTACCGATGTCTTTTTTCTGCGTTTGATTGGCGACCAAATCAGCACCTGCTGTCAACGTCACCACTGTTTTTGGCTTTTTTGCACCAGGCATTGCAGCAGAATTAGATCCAATTGTTCTCTTAGGAATCAACTTCACCAGATTAAAATTCATCTCTGAGGAAATTCTTGGCACTAATTTGCAGGATCCGTAAACAATATTTGAAACTGAGTCGACAACGTTTAAAAGCTTCTCAGATGCATTCAAGCTAGCGCATTTCTCCAAGATGGACTTTTCAAAGTTGAAAATGAAATCAAACAAAGTTGCTTCCGACATTTTAAAGATCTGAAAAATCATTTATTTGTTAGCAATTTCCCACATGTTTTCAATGCAAAATTTCCAGTGATTAAATGATGATCAAAACATTGAACTTATCTAAACTAGTAAGCAATTTTCAACAAAGCTATATCTACATTGGAATAAAATCATCTAAGGGACATCTTTACATCTAGTTAAAGTTTTTTTTTAAATCTTTGACTTTCATTCTAACAACTTCTCGGCCTTGTCACTTGACAGTTTATGCACCGCTATCATATGTCTTTTGGCGCTTTTTTTCATAGAAAATGTTTGCTCACAAATTGCACAAGCTACTGAAAGTCCCCCTCCCCCTAAATGCTTCAACTTGTAGTGAGTCTTCAGACTGTTCTTAGCAGTTGCCTTATATGGACACAAAGTGCACTGCAGATCATCAGGCACTTCTGGAAGTATGTTCAGTTTCTTCAACGCAGATCCGACATCTCTATTTTGCGTGAAAGTCTGTTTTTTCATAGACTTGTTGGAAGTTTGATATGGCTTAGATTCTTCCACTTTGCTAAACTGTCTTTTATAAGAAACATTGCGTTCAATTAGATTGAAATCATCGAAATAAGATTCCAAATTAATCATTAGCTCGCCGATTGGCTCATTTTCATCTCTCTCAAAAACATCCAATGTTTGGGACCTCACTTCCATCAAACTCTGTATTAACTTTCCATTCAATGCAATCGAAAATCTCATAGTGTCTTGCAAGCAAGCCATGAAATCAAACCTAGAAAATATTTTATTAAGATACTGTCAAATATCGCTTTTAATCGTTTTCATCGTAGAGAGATAAAATCACCAGTAGAACTTTCATCATCTCGACTGGAACCAAAACATTACATTATAAGTCAGCTTGGCGTATGTTATCTAATACTCCAAGATTATTGAAAACGCAAACTCTTCCCCATCATAAATCTCCAAGCCTAGCACAAAAAATAGCTTTTAGAAAAAAAATAGACGAGGAAAAGTGGCATTTTCAGACCCGGATCAGATTGGTAAGTCATTGAAAACAAATGTTGATAGTTTCTACGAGGGCACCTCTGATAATTTTCTCTAGTTCAGTGTAGAAAATTTTACTGAATTTCGAAGCAAATGCTGTTCAAAATGTACATTGAAAACAGGCATTTTACAGAATAAAATCCTGAATTTGCCTTTAGTTTTGACCACTAGTTTAAATAAAAGTCTTCACTACGTTTATCGACTCTTAAAAAATCTGCACTTCCCCAAAACCTTTTAAACTCATTTTACCAGGTGAAGTCAACTGAACTTAAATGAAAAAAATAATTACATTGTTAGTACAAGCAAAAAAAACATCATTTTCTGTGGGCGGCCAAACTTCTGATCAAATATAATTCTGATCAAATCATTTTGTGGCTGTTGTGAAAAAATTGAAACCTTCTGCAGTTGAAACAACAAAACGACAAATTTTGATCCAAAAAAAACATGAAAACAGGCAAAAAAGATAAGTGGGATCTTCAAAACAGAAGAAAGAAGGGTATTCTTATGATGAAGGGACAATATGATGAAAAATTTTCAACCAATCAGAATCGTGAGAGGTTCTTATTGGCTAAAAGACAGTTGAGGAAAATCAAACTCATTCCAAACAGAAAATGGAATAAAGCAGTACAGCAGTATGACAGTTCGTTTAGCTATACAATAAACTTTTATTTTTTTTTTCATATATAATAATTAGTTTAAGATTGTTTTCCAATACTCGTTCTCAATTTCGATTTCGCATTTTCCAGAATATATGCAACTGCTTGTTTTCTAATCGGTCAAAATTAATGGCCTGGATTTATTCTCTTTCAGTGAGATTTTTGAACACGCACTTTTGATTGGCTGAAAATAACTGAAAACTAGCCTGTAACTTACAAAAAACAGCATAAACTGGAAACAAGATCAGCACCCCTTGAGTGTATTCCGATAACATCCAATTACAGCGTTGGTAATTTCAAATTTTGTTAGATTTTTATTCAAGTTTTTTAAAAAATCAAATTATGTAAAACCATAAAATTTTGAAGTTTTCCAAATCTAAGTTATTTGAAAAACTTTAAAATGACATAAAAAACGTCACATCTCTGAAACTAAAAGCAATTGAGCAGTCGCAATTGGACGCAAGATTTGCAACTCCCGCGAGCACTCTCACAGTACCCAACTGAAACGTTGGGAATTTCAAATTTCGAGAAACTTCAAATTTAGGTTATCTAAAAAAAAGTTATGAAAAAACCATAAAAAACGTCATATCTCGAAAACTAAAAATAAATGAGCAGTCATAATTGGGGGCAGGATTCGCAAGTCCTGAGAGTATTGTGACAGCCCCCCATTACAGGGTTAGGAAATCATCTTTTTAAAAAAAAGTTTAATTTAAATTTTCTGGTAACTTTTTTAAAAAATCACAAAAAACATGATATCTCGAAAATTAACGGGAGTTGAGCAGTCTTATTCGGAGGCCAAATCCACAACCCCTGGAACTCTGACAGAGCCTCACAATAAATACCTCAAATTTTGGGATTTTTTTATATCTAAGTTCTTTGAATAAGTTTAAAAAACATACAGCAAAACTCATAACTCGGAAATTAAGAGCATTAGAGCAGCAATTTGGACTCAACATTTGCATGGAACTCCTGCGAGCACCCTCACAATATTCCACAACAAGTGTGGGAATTTCAAATCTTTTTATATTTTTTTAATTTAAGTTTTTGAATCTTTTTTGAAAAATCACAAAAAATTTTTTTAGGAAAACTACAAGGATTTGAGCAGTCACATTTGGAGGCAAGATTCGCAACCACTGAGAATTCTCTAGCGAACAGTAGAAACCTCATATTTTTCGATAATTTTGATAACTAAGTTCTCAGAACAATTTTAAAAAGACGTAACAAACGTCATATCTCAAAAACTAAGAGCAATTGAGCAGTTGCATTTGGACGCAATAATTGCAACATGGAAATCCTGAAAGAATCCTCACAGTACTCAACTACAAGCTTGGGAATTTCAAGTCTTTTAAAAATTTTTTAACTTTTTTTAAATCACAAAAACGTCATACCTCGAAAACTACAAAGAAATGAGCTTTCATAATTGGAGGCAAGAATTGCAACCCTTGAGAGTAGCCTGACAAAGCCTCACTATAGAGTGAAGAACTTCAATTTCTGAAGCTTTTTATATCTAAGTTCTTTGACCAATTTTAAAAAGACATAGAAAACGTCACTTCTCGGAGAACTCAAAACGTTCCAGCAGTCACATTTCGACTCAAGATTTAAGACTGCTAAGAGTACCCTTTCAGTACCCAATTACAAGGTTGTAAGTTTCAATCTTGTGATTTTTTTAAATCTAAATTTTCTGGAAATTGAACAAATAAAACTTAAAAATAGTCAAATCTCGAAAACTACGAGGATTTGAGCAACTATATTCGGAGGCAGGATTCGCAAATCATGCGAGTACCCTAATAGCACCCAACTACAGGATTGCAAATATCGAAATTGAGGCATTTTTTTAATTAAAGCTCTCTGAAAATTTTGAAAAAGTTTCAACAATTGTCGCATCTTGTAAGCTTAAAGGATTTGCGCATTCACAATTGGAGCTTAAATTCGAAACACCTGGGGCCAACCCTGATAGCATCCCACTATTGGGTCGCCTTTTTAATTTCGGTGAAATAAGCACTGAATTAAAAGTGAAAAATCGGAAAAAATTCTCAAACATTGCAATATACGATATAGCTTAAAATTGAAAAAAGTCTTTGATTGAACATGCAAAATCATTTTGCTTAAACATGGGAGATAGCTGTCACACGCATTTAAATATAGCAATTAAAAGTGAAAAATCGAAAAAATTCACAAACATTGCAATATACGATATAGCTTAAACGTGAAAAAAAAATCTTTCGTTAAACATGCCAAATTATTATGCTTAAACATGGAAGATAGCTGTCACACGCATTTAAATATAGTATAGATAGATAGATAGATAGAAAGATAGATAGATAGATAGATGAAATTCAAACATTCGGTCCCTCCCTCAAGAGGGACGCCACCAAAAGAAAACACCTAATTCATTAAATAAGCATCAAAAAAGTAGCCCTTTACCTGATAAGAAACCCTACCCTCGTAGTTAGAGTCTTATGTCTTACCAACTGGGCAACAACGCCTAGCTGACTTGAAAAAACTAGCCACTATTAAAACGGAAACAACACATGCTGTTCAAATGCCAATACTAAAATGGGATGCATCTAAAATGCAAATTTGTTGAGCACTGATTTGTTATCGTTTTGATTTGAAAACAAAACTTGACTCATAAAACAAAAAGCATTTGCTGGTGAGAAAAAGGGAAAAATTTGACAAAAATTATTGCGGTACTTCACAGTTTCATCAAAGTTCCGGCGGCGATTCGAGCCATAACTGACAAAACAAGAAGAAACCCACTACCCAAATGATTAAAAATATCGAAGAACTGACTTTCAATTGATTAAAAACACTTAAAATTACAGGGTCCAGAAAAGAGATTTTGCTTAAAATTACTATTTGGGGAAAACGAAATCTAGTACGCAATCGAGAAAGCAGTTACTCACAAACTAACATTTCAGTCTACATTCAAAGAAGTAAACACTATAACACTCAAAGCGAAACTCAAGTACCCTGAAGTTGAACGTATCGCATGCTATTAATCGAGGAGTTTCGATGCGTGCTCACTAGAAAGAGCATGAGAACTTATCATATGTCTCTTCGTGTTTTTCTTCTGAGAAAATCTTTGTTTACAAATGGGACAATCCACTGCTAAACCACCGCCTCCTAAATGCTTCAACTGGTAATGAGTTTACAAATTGACCTTAGCTGTTCATTTATAAGGGCATAATGTACACTGCAGATCATCAAAAACTTCAGGAATTAGGTTCAACTTCTTCAGCGCGGAGCCAACATCCCTAGAAGAAACCGGATGGGGACCCGAAATTTTGGAAAATATAGAGTTGAACTTAGTGTTCAGTGAAGCA